AGGTGGTTGTGTCAAACCGATTGGTGACATCCCCATGCTGCATTGTCACAAGCACATATGGCTGGACAGCAAACATGGAAAGAATCATGAAGGCTCAAGCCCTAAGAGACAACTCAACAATGGGTTACATGGCGGCCAAGAAGCACCTGGAGATAAACCCTGACCATTCCATCATCGAGACCTTAAGGCAGAAGGCCGAGGCTGACAAGAACGACAAGTCTGTGAAGGACCTGGTCATCCTGCTCTATGAAACCGCACTCCTGTCTTCCGGCTTCAGTCTGGAGGACCCCCAGACCCACGCCAACCGCATCTACAGGATGATCAAACTTGGTCTCGGTAAGCCTGTGCTGTCAGGAGAAGAAACTTCCGTGTGGGGCTGGGGAAAGGGAGGGGGACCTGCCAGCTGCCTGGAGAAAAGTGGGTGACCTTACCTGGCTCTGGAGACACTAAAGTCACGTGTGGAAGGGCTAAAAGTGAGAGTGATTTGTGGACCCTGTAGTTGCCCAGCCTGGAAAGTGGTCAAGAGCCAGCAGTATTGGGCCACCTCGTTGGTTTTAAGAAATCTAACAATGTGGGTTTTGTTTTTAAAAAGGTATTGATGAAGATGACCCCACTGCTGATGACAGCGGTGCTGCTGTGACTGAGGAGATGCCACCCCTCGAAGGGGATGACGACACGTCACGCATGGAAGAAGTGGACTGAGCTCTGCCTGCAAAGTGGCTTGCACACGTGTTAAATACTTTACCTTCATTCCCTCTGATATATTTTCAAGAATTTTTTTAATTTTTGTGTTAGTTTAAAAACGAATGGCATGACAATACGTACTTAAAGGGAAGATAAGATTTCTTTCGACTTTTAAGTGTCTGCTACTGTGATACCTTAGGCTCTAAAGCTGAGCTAGTTTTTCCTTTCTCGTTTTATGTTGGTTTCTTTTAACAGAAGGAGACATACTGTTCGTTGTAAAATGTCTGACCTAAGTGTTACGTTAACTTTGTGGTCTAGTTAGTACACCAGATCTTTTGTCACTTGAAGTTCTGAGTTGCACCCACGTTTAAAAGAACATTGCTTAAAACAACTTTTAATCTCCTATGACCTTTTTAACCCTTCTACCCCTTGTAGTTATTAACTGCATGTACCCACTTCTAGAAGTTAGTATGTTAAGCTGAACCAACTTGATGGGAGTAACTATCCATAGGGTTTGTTTTCCAAAGAAAAGTGTTCTTTAGAGGAGCAGAATTGTGAGCCTGCCGACCAAGGCACGTTGGGAAGTAACCAGAGCAAGTTTTGTGAATGGAAACATTGTGCCCAGGTCACATTTCACTTTAAAAGGTGACAAATACAGATGTATTAAGAAACGTTTAATGTGAAAGTTTTCTTATTTGGCGGGGTGGGGATTACAGATGACGGGGGAGGTCCCAAACCTAAAAGCCTTAGGCATATACATCTTGTCCAGGAGGAAATTCGAGGGCAAAGGTGGTTCACAGTGACTTCCCTGTCTTCATGTGACTCCCGGGTGACACTCAGGTGGCATGTGTGGGTGATGAGCATATTCTAGACCTGGGACGACCGGGCTATCAGACAGCATGCACTTCCCGTTTCTGTTCTGCATTCTGACAAGCAGCCGGCGCTCCAGGCCCACACTGCTTATTGATGGCATTAGCAAACGCCTTACGCTCTAAAGATAGCCCCTTAGTACCTTGGCCTGAGGAGTCCTCAAGAGCGCTCTACCATGCCTGCTTACAGCCGTACAGCCATCTTGCCTTGTTTTCCTTTATTGAGGCGCACGCAAGATGCACGTGGAGGGACTTGCTGGTGGCTCAGCTGCAGGTGATGGTGGCGGAGGGAGGGTGAACACTGGTCTTAGAACACCTAAGTTTCCTCGTGTTCCGGGAACTGTGATGGTTAAAGCTAAAGTCTTCAACCCTAAAGTGGATTTTTCTCTTTAATGGGGTGACAGTAAAGTCACATAGGTTTCAGGTGTACAATTCTGTAATACATCATCTATGTATCACGTGCTAAAGTTGATTTGTAAAAAAATGGTAGCATACAGGATTTGGGTTGTAAAAGCACCTACAAAAGTTGACAGTGATAAGGGAAGGGGAGCTGCAGGGAGAGGATGCTGCACCCTACTGGGAAAGGTTAGTGCTCTAGAGCTCAGGAGGCTAAGAGCCTGGTGTGTGCTGATCACACGCCTTAAAATCCTCAGGCAGAGGTTTTTGTTTTTGTATTTAAATATAATTTGTCACTTTAACTTTTTTTTTTTTTTTTAAGGATTTTATTGGGGAATTGGAGGAGGGGAACAGCATTGGGTAATCGGGGAAGGGGAACAGACAGGTTGCTGTCCTTTTGTTCTTTAGTTGTGAAGGACGTCGCCTCACTGGCCCATGTTGGTATTATTGTGCTCTTTCCCGGTGAGGAAGTCGGTCACCAGCCATTGGACAGCTGGTCACAGCAGCTCCACTGCAGCCTATGCGGTTGCCACCGCCGACTCATGGCAGCCCAGCTCCAGGTCGAGCTGTTGTTCACCATCTTAGCTGCAGAGGGTGCAGCGTCAGTGGCCGTCATGTGGGATCCGAACCGGCGGCCCTACTACGCAGAACTGGCGTCCCAAGCCAGCACTTAACCAGTGTGCCACTCGGCCAACCCCTCACACAGAGTTCTCTCCTTAGAAAACCACGGGGGGTTACTAACATTGTGTCTCAGCCCCATTTAACTCCAAAGCCCACTGTCTTTCTGGTGTTCTTACTGGGAGATGTTACCAGCTGTGGTGAGGGTGAGGTTTACATGGTAGGACTAAGAATTGAAGGGCACGGGATGTTTCCATGTTCCCCACGTCTCGTTTTGATTCTCCACGACTCCGTTCTATTCTAAAGCAGCAGGCAATTGGAGTCAGCAGAGAGGACCTCTGTAAATGGTCTCCCAACTGAATTCGTCCTCCCTGAGTTACTGGGGAGAGTGTTTATGGCAAGTACATGAGTACTTGCTGTCTGGAACTGTCAGCAGTAACGCCTGTGCTGGGGACGGGACCTCCCAGCCCAGTAGGTGAGAAGTCAAGCCAGTGGCCACACCATGCTGGCTCTGTCCTCCCACCACAGATGCAGACACCTCCGGGGAGTCCCTCACCTGCTCCAAAACCCAGTGTGGCTTCTCACCCTCCCTCCATGATTAGTCCCATCCTGCCTGCCGAGGAGGGTGATGAGGGCTAAAAAATAAAAAGACAGGTTCAAACTGGGAAAGATAAACTTCATTCACAGATCCCATGGTTGTCTCTAGACCACCAGTAAGGAATCTACAAAGACTGAATTCAGCGAAGTCCTAGGATACAGGATCAATATACAAAAACCAATTAAATTTGTGTTAGCAACAAACGCATTAATTAAATCTTTAAAAGTCCATTCACAGCATACTAAATAGAAACAAATTTTACAAAAGGTTTTGCGAGACCTGGACAGAGCTAAACATTGCTGAGGGAAGTGAGAGGTCCAGGTGGCTGGAGACACTTAGTGTCTGAAGACTCAATGTTAAGGTGGGAATTCTCAAAAGCGTGCTAATTGCAAGAAGCCAGACAAAAAGCTATGTACTACACGATTTCATTTTCATAAAATTCCAGAAAGGGCAAAACAAGCAAGTAAGTGGGTTGCCGGTGGCCAGACCACCTAGTGGGGCTGACTAGGAGCAAGAGGGAACTCCGGGGAGTGATGGTCTTCAGGCCCTTGGGGCCAGGCTACACCCCCTCATGGGTTGGCCTGTTTGCATGTCCCTTTCTTCAGAAAAGCCCCAGCGACACTCCCCTTGCTCAGTCCTCTTTTGGGGCATTTCTCACAACTGTCCTGCGACGTGTAAGGTCCTCGTCCTGCCTCCTTGCTGCCCAGGAATGAAAGCGTTTCTTCACCACCAGCCCAGGGTACCTGGGACATACTCATATTTGTGGATTTGAATGAATAATTGCTATATATAATATAACCGATAGTTTCCCCTTCCCTGTGGGGGTGGCATTTTGTTTAAATAATTTTGTATAATTTAGGAAGCTTCTGTCCCATTTCTAAGCCTTCCAGATCTGCTGTAACCTTTCGAAGTGGATTACACATTACTCTTCTGTAGGAAGGACATTCCAGGAAGCAGGGGCTCTCAGTGAGTCACGGGTATTAATAGTGCCATTGAAATTGGAACAAAGATTCCATGATGATATGCAGAGCCAACGGGCTGAGCCTACCGTCTGCCAAGCATCTCCGTCTCCTTGGAACGTACATCATCATCTTACGAAAGTAGTTTAAGGCCTGAACACTCGACCAGTGAACGTTCTAGAGCTGGAAATGTGGTCCAAGAAGAAGCACTGTTGTTTTTAAATTCCAGGTGAAAAAAGAAAAAACCCTAACAGATCAGAATAAAAAAGAATTGATAAATCAACTACCCGATTTTTACATAGCTGAGTGGATGGAACCACCCCCCACGCACCCTCCCGCCCTCCCTCTGCCAGGCTTTCTGAGGCACCTCCTGGATTTTATCACGTCATCAGTCCTTCATCTATTCCTTAACACATCTTTGTAATTCAAACATACTTAGGTGCTTGGTATTACGATTAAATGCACAATTGGAAACAAGACAGGATATTCATTCAACACAGTTCCGGAGTCAGGGAAGTTCAAGTTCAAGAACAAGAAGGTGGGGGGAGGGGGGTTGTTACTTTGTGAGGGGTGAAAAGAATAACTATTGCATTGTTCTGTACACCTGAAACTAATAAATAAATAAATAAATAAATAAATAAATAAATAAATAAATAAAAAGAACAAGAAAGCATCCTGATTGGACAGGAAGGAATAAAATTATCTCTATCTGTAGATGATGTGAACCTATATATAGAAAATTGTGGGCTGGCTGTGTGGCGCGTTGGTTAAGAGTTGGCTTGAGACTCCAGCTCTGAGCAGCAGGGTCGCGGTTTGGATCCCACTTGAGGGCCAGTGACACTGCGCCCTCTACAGCTAAGATGGTGAACAACAGCTCGACCTGGAGCTGGGCTGCCGTGA